TAAGTAGTCAAGTAGCTCTTCTCCCCTCTGGTTGGTATCAGTGGACCCCCACACCCGGCTGTGGGCGTTGGCGTCACACCCAACCAGCAGATCAAAGCCTTTCTCTTTACAGAACCTTACCAGTTTTCTCACCTCTTCTGGGGGTGTCTCCCTATCATGGGCGAAATAGGCAGATGCCAAAACAATCTGCCTGCCACCCTGCCCATCAGTTCCACTTTTAGCAAGCTTGACAACAGCCAGGTCTCTTGTGGAAAATTCTTGTAAAAAGGCTGCATTCGCGCCCCTTACAATCACACAAGCCCTGGGGTTCTTCTCCACATGCATGAACACACCCAGCCGCACCAAGACCTCGGATGAGGCCCTTCTATTGCCATGGCTCTTGCACCAACCCGAAGGCAGGAAGTGTTCGCACCATAGACATGCACTTGGCCATAACAGCCGAGGCGCTTTTGCTATGATGTAAGTTTAGCTGAAAGATTTCGGCTTTAGACATAAACATAGCCATTGAAATATTCCTCCCACTCCTCCCTCAGGGTCCAACTGGTTTTTCTAGACGAGTTTGAAAGTCGCCTGTCCCGTACCCAGATGTACCCTGTAGTTCCTGGCCTTGAGTACGTTGGCCGAATTCACGTCCACCCCGAGAACCAGTAGGGTAGAGTTCCCCTCTAGGCTCTCAGCCTTGTGGACGATCCAGTTCTTCGTCTCAAGGCCACTGTTTTGCAGGCTGATGAGTCTCAGCGCCTTTGCTGGCTCCAGTTTCGGGGGCGGCACCTTAAGTGTCATTTTAACTCTCCTAATGAGTTCCTCTGGGCGTACAAGCCGCACCTGAGTTCCATCAGAGAGCTTCAACGACGGTACCACCTCTCGAAGCCACTTTTCAGTGTCCTCGTCCTCGCAGACGAAGATCACCTTCCCATGTTGTAGGACCGTATCCTTGAACTTCGGGATCGCTCCCTCTCCCGTTAATTCCAGGATTTGGTTCAGGACACAGCCCTTGATTTCTTCGAAGACCGACATAGGCAGCTTCTCGCCAAGAGTCTCACCAACACCTTTGGAAGGCTCGAAGCAAGAGCTGCAAATGCCGGTCCTCGTTGTCCGACGGGGTTAGGCCCCTGCCGTACCTTTTTAGTGGCCGGCTTCACCGAGGGGTCGAAGACGCTAGTCTCCATCTTCCTCTTGGCCGTAGTTTGGCTTCCAGAGGCTTCCGGAGCGTCAGCCAGGCGAGTACTAGCCTCAGCCACGGCCTTCTTCTCCTTCTTCCTCTTGGAACCATTCTTCCTCTTTGGAGGAGGGTTAGGAGGGGGAAGCCCCTTCCTTTCAGCCTCCTCCTTCTCCCTCATATATGTTTTCCAGGCCTGCTTTCGCTTTTGAGCTCCGCTGCCCTTCAAACCATCTGAGTTAACAGAGTTGCCTTCCTCCACCACCTCCATCGACAAGACTGTCGAAGTCGAAGGTATCGGATCGGACCCAGCTGGTACAGGCCCCGCCTGAGTTACCGACAACTCCGTTTCCTCAGTATGAGGAATGTTTTGCTGGGGAGAGGAGGGCAGGTCAGGCCCGTCCCTTCCCCCCTCAGCAAGCTTCATCTTATGCATCTGCATAAGGTTGCTTTCACCTTCCTGGTTCTTGCGAACGCCAGAAGGCTCGTCCTTACCCACCTCACTCAATGTTTCCACCGACTGAGTTGGTTTAGGTGCTTTCTCGGCGGGTACTGGCCCCTGCCGTTGGTTTTTATTTGGTTTATCCATATAAATCCCACGAGTAATTGAGGTTCAGGTAGACCACACCAAGCTCCCTCTTGCCTGGGCTAGGCTTGCCACCGAGACTCAAGAGCCTCGATGGCTACTGCAGGAGGTCGCCCGGTATCCTGCAGGGACCGTTAGAGACACCGCATCCCCGGTGCCATGCATCCCTCGGCACGGTACACTGCACACCTTGGATTGGGGCGCATAGGATACTCCCGAAGGAGTACCACCCAATGGAAAAATGCGCGCAAATCCATTGGTGGGCTGCTTTTTCGTCGCCATCGAGACCGGCGCGGGTTGCCTCATTCATTCCTGCCTTTCATGGGAGGAGCCCGTTTATAGGGACTCCCTAGCATTCACAGCAGAGCCCGTTTATAGGGTTGCTCATTCGCCCATCTCTCAACCGCAACCCGAACCATTGGCCTCGAAGCTTAGCCCCCGGACCAGCGTCAAGGTCCTGCAGCCCCCACCAGGGGTAGGTTTAAGGTAACTTATCAGATTTTGCAGATGGCCCTTTCCTCCCTTGGTTGTCCTCTTTTGTTTATCTTGTGAAAAGCGTCCAATTACAGGTGGTAAGACCGCCCTGTAGCTGACTCTTATCACTTCACACTTTCTTGAGGGTAGGGTAGTCTCTACTCACTATATTTTATTAGCACACAGTAATTATGTGTGGGTTTTGGGCTTTTATGTTTTTAAGAGGTCGCTATCCGAGACGTCTTGCTACGCATATGACATGTCGAGAGTTAGAACGTGACTGGCCTTTTGCCGCTTTGTTATTGGCGACTTAATTTTTTTTATAAGAGTATTAAAATAAAAGGAGAGAAATTTTCATAATATTTTTAGAATTTGTTTGATAGTTGCAGTTGACGGTAGCAAAGTTTAACAGTGTGTAGACAGTGCTTGACTTTGTAACGAGCTTACTCTCTAAAAAATGACTAATTGTCATAGCGAAATAGCAGCCACTAATATTTATCGTCAACAGAAACTTGTATCCCGGACAATTAGCAGTCAACTCCTATGTAAAATTGTCCGCTGAATCAGAAAATGAAGTCAAAAGTTGAGTGATTAATCAATGGTAGAACAATTTTTGAGATATAGTCCGGGATACAAATTGCTGTAGACTAGTTATAAGTGACTTTTTTACTTTGAAAACTAGTCATTTTTGACTAATTCATTTTTAGAGAAACCAGTGTATTTTTTGTGATTTTGTTTGTTTGGCAATTTAATAAATATATTTTAAGCTTAATTTCATCAGTTTTTTTTTACATTTTCAATTACATATTGCGAGTTTGTCGCAAAAAATATATATTTTTAAATTTTAGTGCTTAAAATATTTAATGTATTATATTTAAATATAAAAGGGGCGCACAAAAGAATGCTGTACGTAGGCGCCAGACAACCCAGGAACGGGCCTGACCATAATCCCTTAGATAAAATACACACACTAACGTAACTATACAAGCATTTAAGCGTTGAGTTTCTTAATCAATGATATAAACAATAATCAATCGAAATCGAGAGTTTTAAAAACCGATAAGCTGATAAATCAAATTGGTTTTATTCATAGGCCTATGGTTTTATTTTATACCACGTGTTTGTGTTTACTTTGAATATTCAAATTTACAAGGTTCCCGGACCCAAATGAAATAACGATTCCTGTCCGGTTCCGAGAGAAACGACAAATTTCGGTTCGGGTTCAGTTACGGTTCCAAAAAAAATATTTCTGTCCGGTTCATACAATTTCGGTCCATACAATTTTTTTTGGTTCCAATTTTTTTACCATGTATACATAAGTACCTACTTAAATTAAAAATTGACAATTTTTTTGGCAAGTAATTAAATTGCTTTTTTCTTCTTCTCCAAAAATTCTGTTGGTCTTTTATGTGTGATCTTGTTGGGGGAAGTAAAAATTTGAGATCAGAAAACAACCTTTCAACGCTTACTTAAATCGGTTTCATATAGATACAGATCTTAAAAAAACAAAATATATATTTTTTGCCAAGAGAAATTAAGAAAAAAACGAAAATAACCTAAAAATCCGTTTTAAATTTAAAAGGTTCGGTTTCGGTCTTTAGTAACCATATAAAAATAATCTGGGTTCGGTTACGGATCCAGTCCGCAAATAAATACCGGGTCCGGTTCGGTTTCGGTCTTTAGAGTTACATATAAAAATAATATGGGTTCGGTTACGGTTCCGGTCCGCAAATAAATACCGGGTCCGGTCCGGTTTTCTGTCCAAAAATGGTCCGGTCCGGGTCCCTGGTTCCAAATAACTACATGATGGATAAATGGCAAACAAAGTTCCTCATAATGACGAGATTAAAGTAAAATTTTCAGTTTCAGTTATTTGTTTTTCAGTATATAAACATTTTATCTGTGTTTTTTAGTATGTGTGGGGAATTTTAGGAAGCTGTGGGGAATTTTACCACATGATGTGGGAAAAAACCCCACACTGGGGTAGATAAGCGGGGTGCATCGTTAGCGATTTTCAGCAAGCCATTGGTCAGTACTTGGAATGAGCAGTTGAATTTTCCACGAAGGCAGAGGGACACTGCGATCGGCTCAGGTTCAGTTTTCGCACAGTGGGGCAAACAATTCAAAAGCGAATACCGAATTTTCAATATAATTTTAGCAGTGACACGGACGCAGACAAACAAGAAGCACGATATAGGCCGACACAGAGTAATAACCAACCATTGAATGTGGGTGTAACTAAATCCGGGGTCTGGGAAGACTCCTGATTGTTCTTTTGGTTTTGGGCCACTCTATTGTCCCCGAAACCCAAAAATTTTTCCCATCTACCATATATTAGTATGTCTATGATAAAAACATTTTGCTTTTTTTCATACAATTTATTAAAAAGTATTTATTATACTTTATTACTATACAATGCATGCTCCTGTGTAATTCTCACTTTCCCTACTTTAACCCCTCGAAAAGGAAACGGTCTGTTAGAAATGATTTGTATATGTGTGGAAGTATGTGGTCCCATTAAATAATACTACGGAACACCATGCATGTAAAGCATTGAGTAATGTTTTAACTCCTCAATAAACAATGTAAAGGGTGGTTGAATAAGGAGTCTAGTCATAAGATAGGAATTATTCCAGTGTAATTTTTAATAATATATGTTTTTGACCATGATCAAAAAATATATATTAATTAAAAAATAGGTCAAATAATAACCATAATAATTTATGGTCCAAAACACACAAAAATGGTTTAGGTATTAAATATTTGGTTAATTTATTTTAGATGGGGACAGAAGACAAAATGGTGCAGACCCTCTTGCATACCAATATCAATAATATGTATTTTGATCTTCCTTGTAGTACTTTTGCCATTATTAGATCACGCTACTGAAAAAGCCTTACAAGAAATTAATTCTATTTCTGAAGAATGTAATTCATGTCGGTAAGTAATATGTACTATGCTCCACACCCAAAGTCACTTTAAATACAAATAATTAAGGTTACCTCTCTCATCATCTTATTTTCTAAAAATAATAAAATACGTATAATATACGTTATATAGGCTTTTTTGTGTTTTAAATTAAGACCTTTATGCACAAAAAATATTTGTTGTATTATTTTCAAAAAAATAACACTTCATTAGCATTCAACACATAACATGCGCAGAGCACTAACCGACTTAATATACAATGTCAATATTAGTGTACCCAGTGGCGGATTTAACGGGGGGAAAATGCGCTGTTGCCGCCTGGGCCCTCCCAACCGAAAGGCTGTAGGCCCCTCAGCTGAAGTGTTGTAAATTTCTTTAACCATGAATTTCAGTTATCTTTAAAACTTAGCCGCCTGGGCCTTTTTTCTTAAATCCGCCACTGAATGTACCTCAATTAATAAAATATCATGGGTTACTTTTACAGCAGCATTAGTTAGTTTTGTGACATCAATGAGTAGTGCACATTAATTATTATTTTGAATTGAAAATAAGTGGATTACTGTTCTGCGCATTAGAGTATTCTATATATAAACTTCTATATTTTTTTTATTTAAGACATTTTCATTTTTGGCCAGCTCAGGTTAAGAGTTGTTTATTATTTGAAAATATTTATTTCGACAAATAAACTTAAGTAGGTAGTAGTAACCAATAAGTAGTAACATAATAGGAGTCATCCGTGTAAACTAAGGTGTGGTTCAACTTAAATACTTATATGGTGGGCCGAATATGGCATTTAAATATTATATTATATATTTATCGACCATGACCACGATACACATAAACCGGTATGCTGATGCGCATGTTATAGCTGTCTCTCTCGCACCATGTAACGTCATGTGCAAACCAAAAGCTGGCGGATAACTTGGTTATGTGTGGATTGTGGTTGGAATGTTATTTGACTGCAAATTCACGTTATATTTAAAAATTTATATATATATATTAATTGCACCCAGACCGTCCCTATAGGGACGGTCTGGGTGCAATTATTAATTGTAAAAAATGTTTAGACAAAGTTAAATTGGCAGCAAGCGCTTTTAAAACTAATTTTATGCAACAATTAATTTCCTACCTTCCTATTATTATTTTTCGCTTTAAAAGTATTACAAGTAAAAAAATATCTCAAAACTGCTTTTTTTAACTTGTGACACTTTCGAAGCGGGTTTTCGATACAATTGTGATTTAATCTTTATTATTATTAAATGAAAAATAAAATTCTGTTTTTTGCTGTTATTAATACTAATTTGTTGATTTAATTTGCGTAATCGAATGTTCGCGTTCTGCTTAAAGAAAGAAGCACCTCAAATGGAATTGCTTTATCATTTGACAATTTATCACGTGTGACTTCTGCCAGTTTGTGAAAAATTTTATTATATTCTTTTGATAAAGAGTGCTTATAAACCTTGTAAAATTTAGCATCAAGTATTTGAGCGGCTTTGCAAAAATTATTACTTGGATACAACAGAGATCCTCTTGATATGGTCTGGTACTTTTTCAGTGTTTTCGCGGTGCTAATTCCGAACTAGTTCGGACATCCTAGGCATGCGCATTTTAATATTTGTCATGCGCACTTTACAATTTGAACGCCAAATTCTAAAAAGCGCATGATGAATATTAAAGAATATTGTAGATAAATTAATGGAGAATCGCTCACATTTTAAAAAATTACTAAAAAATAATGTACGTTTATAATATACAGGTTTAAACAAAAATAAGTTTTTTACCATAAGTTTAAGACACTCTGTAGAGTGGATAAACCCTATATTGTTCTAAATTAAGTTTTAATTATCAAGTCACATCTATTCTTAACAGTTTTGTTTTTGGTTGACCTCGATATATTTATTTTTGTGGAAAATATGAATTTAAAAAAAAACATTGCAATTTCCAATATTTTTTCTGTACGAAAAACTAAGGTTGCATGGTCCATCCATAGGCTATGGAGGATGACAGTGACAGTTTTGTTAAATCATCCCATACTTGGACATGTCATATACGGCTTTAATGTTTAACATTTGTGGTGTCTTCTTACTTTAAAAAATGGATATGTCTCCGACTGATGTTGCCAGATCCATTGATTTAATTCAGGATGGACGTTCACAGTATTACGTGGCAAGTGTATTAAACGTCACAAGAAGTAAAGTACAAAGGGCAACATCAGTCGGAGACATATCCATTTTTAAAAGTAAGAAGACACCTCAAAATTATCACATTAATTAAAAAAAAACAATTTGATAGCTTTTGAAAGCCGTATATGTAGAGATGCGACTTGAAAAAAAACGGTCCGTTTTTTTTGTTTTTTTTCAAATGGTTTTTTTTCACATTTTTTTTAAGATAAGTCCCATTTGCCTAATTTTTTATGTTTCCAAATTAGCCACTAAATCACAATTAGTAAATGTAAATACAGTCTCACGCTATGCACGCGCCACCACCACCGAATTGACCAATAAGGTCCGCGCTTGTTTTGATTTGGTCCTAAAAAAAGTAACTACATATAATATTTTTAATTCAGCGCTTGATTTTTCAAAAAGCTACCAAAAGCTTTTTTCGTGATTTTTCAAATTTATGTAGAGTATGCAATTTTTTTTCCCAAAAAAACAATAGCAAATTCTTGTAGAACATTTATTCATTGGTGGTCAGAACATTCCGTGGACCAAAAAAAAAGCAAAAAATAGCTATTTACATACCATGGGAGGAAAATATTGCATTTCCTCCCGCGAATAGTTTGATGCCCGACGCGAAGCGAAGGGCATTAAATATTCAAGGGAGGAAATGCATTTTCCTCCTGAGGTATGTATATAGTTTTTTCTATTACCTTTTAACGGTTTTAAGACATTTTAAGCGTTCCGGTTCCTTTTACTTACCCGGTATGGGGCTATAAAATTATGACAAAATATTAAGTAGGTTTTGCGTCGCCGACGTTATGTTGACAACGCTTTGTTGCTATGGTATTTTTGGTAATACCAACATAACAGTTTTTATAAGCCGTCATAATGTTTATCATAAATTTAATAGTTGCAATTAATTTCCTTCCTTAAAAATCTAAAATAGTGAATATGAATATAGTTTGTTAAAAGAATGTTAAAAGAATGGTTGGACAAGCGCGGAGTAAATCTTTTTCCTACAAAATCAAATAAAGCTAGACAAGGTACAAAAACTCTTGCCAATATAAATTTTTAAAAAAAAAAGAGGGAGGAAATTTTTTTTCCTCCCGGGGAGGAAAAGAGGCATTTTCCTCCCTCGCTCGGGGGTGGAAAATTAAGTTTTCTAGTAAGGTAGTAGAAAAAATCGATTTTTTTATTACGGTATTCGTTAAAATTGAGCGTTGCACGTTTTTCATCTAAAAATCTCAAAACTATAAACTTCAAGCTTTAAATTGCTTTTTTTACGGCTCCAATACGACCATTTTTAACAAAGATACAGCTATCCGAAAAATCGCAAAAACAATTTTTTATCCTTTAATTTTTTGTATTAGTGTAGAAGTTTTACATTGCTATTGGTTTTTAATGTGGTAACTACCAAATAATAAGAAATCAGATTTTTTTAGTCAAAATTTTCAATAATGAAAAATGTAATATATTCTACATTTTACTCAAAATTTTATTTTGAAAAAAAACAAAAAAAACCGTTTTTTTTCTAGGTTTTTTTTCATGTTTTTTTTCACATCTGAAAAAAAACCGTTTTTTTACATATCTACGTATATGACATGTCCAAGTATGGGATATCCCAATGGGATAATCCCATATCATATGATTCAACAAAACTGTCACTGTCATCCTCCATAGGCTATGGATGGAACATAGCAGGCTTAGTTCTTTGTATAGAAAAAAATATTGGAAATTGCAATGTTTTTTTTTAATCCATATTTTCCACAAAAATAAATATATCAAGGTGAACCAAAAACAAAACTTTTAAAAATAGATGTGACTTGTTAATTAAAACTTAATTTAGAAAAATATACGGTTTTGCCACTCTACAGAGTGTCTTAAACTTATGGTAAAAAACATATTTTCGTTTAAACCTGTATATTATAAACGTACATCTATTTTTTAGTAATTTTAAAAATGTGAGCGATTCTCCATTAATTTATCTACAATATTCTTTAATATTTGTTTAAATCCGAAATCAAATAAAAAAGTTATTTGCGATTGAAATTCATCGAAAGCTTGTGTGGATCGATTATTTTGCCTGTGAGTGTAGTACATGTGTCATTAAGTCTGACAAATTAACACAAACCTAATAAATAACCTGGTATGAGACCCGTATGTGGCTTGTAAATAGTTATTGCTGTTCAATAAATGCAGTAAAAACTTTACGAAAAACGCGCTCCCGTGCGTACCTTATGCCTCGAAAAACACAATAATTGCGGATAAAACTCAAAATAAATGGTAGTAAAGCACTTGTGCATATCGTATTCCTATGCCAAACATTTGAATCTGGTTCGTAGGTGACGTCACATGCGCGGAGTCGACGAGTTTTCGTTTCATAACCAACATACCAGTTTATGTGTATATGTATATTTATTAGACCCTATTTTTTCAGTCTTAAATTAAAATAAATAATTATTTACCAATAATTACACTGTATGTAAATTTTCAACTCTTGAAATATCACAGCTAAACGCTCGGACACGTAAACATAATTTTTAGTCGTAGATTCCAAATCCGTGCTCGGTTTAGCTGTATCAGGTCTAAAAAAGTTTTTCCTATCTGAAGTCCGATCCAGGGACACACAGTGTGTCCCACACTGTATACTGGTATTGATATAATATTATAATTTGTAAAATAACATATTTCACCTCTTGTGCCAACATTCCTATGCTTTTTATTTCAATAAACATAATATCCTCAATTATACTCAATAAAAAAAAATTAGCAAAAAAACATTTTGAATTTCCTTTTGATCAATTATAATTATAACTTCAAATTTTGCAATAATTTGTTTTTTTTTTAAATTTGGAACCGATGTGTGGATCCAGCCAAATTATTATTTTTTTAATTTATACAGGGTGTTTTCAATATCTTTGAATTTTGACCTGATACAGCTAAACCAAGCACGGATTTATAATCTACGACCAAAAATTAAGTTTACGTGTCCGAGCGTTTAGCTGTGATATTTTCACCTCCCTACAGTGTTATTATTCCCTAGTTATGGTAAAACATACATACATCATTTATTATTAAAATCATTTGTAAATCAATTATTAATAAAAAAAACTTTAAGTTAATTGCTTGATTCAGGCAGACGTTCATTACATTAAAAGGACACACGTGTGTCCTTTTAATGTAATGAACGTCTATGTACATATTATTGATTTTAACTAATTCGTAAATATAATATTTTAGGATATCTTTAAGAGAAAGCATACCAATAGGATTAGAATATCCCGATGCAGTTACTTATCCTTCCACTTTTATTACTTGGTTAGACCTAATAAACTCTGCCCAGCACACCATCGAAATAGCCTCGTTCTATTGGACATTAAGACAGTCAGAAGTTTACCCAGATCCTTCTTCCATTAAGGGCGAACAAATTTTCCAATCATTGCTAAAAGCAGGCACGGACCGCGGAATAAATGTTAAAATCGCACAAAATTACCCGTCCTCGAATTTTCCCAACATCGACACGGAATTGTTGGTGAAAAGGAAAGCAGCCACTGTAAGAAGTTTAAATTTTCCAAAATTAATGGGTGGAGGGGTGCTGCACACAAAATTTTGGATCATTGATAGGCAGCATGCATACATTGGCAGTGCCAACATGGATTGGAGATCCTTGACACAAGTAAGTAATTAGTTTCAAAGTCGATTTATTGATTAATAAAGTCTAAGGTACATAGTATTAGGGCTTTATGCAATGTTATATTAAAATGTTACGTTCTTGACAAAATATTCATAGAAAAATCGATAGTTTTATTATGGTTTTCTGTTTAAGGCAATCAATATTTTTAAATTAGTGCGTTTTTAGACCACCCAAGCAACACAAAATCGTCTAATAGGCGTTTAATATTTGTCTATACCAATGGTATATCATTGGTTTATTGTCTACCTCTAATATAGGTTAAAATGTCCGCCTAATATAGGTTGATGCATATTATAGCAATATCCATATTTTAAACGTCTACACTATACGTTTATTTATAATACAAACTTGACAATTAAATATCTGTTTTTTATAAAGGTTACATTTTAATATATAATATACCAAAATTAAACGTTTATCAAAAACTTCTAAAAGCCATAAACGATATACGTTAATATTGAATATTATTTTAAGGTGAAATTTTTTACATAACATTATTGTTTAGGCCGCGGCTCTGCTAATCTGGAAAAAGAAAATAAAAACAAAAGTTTTTACATTTGAATGATTTTTTAATATTTTTAGAGCTCTCTAATAATTCCATTTTCATTAAATTAAAATCGTAAAACCATGCATGTTTTACGGTTATCAATGCATTGATAATTAAAATTACAGTAAAATTTACTATATTTATTCTTTGCATTTAATTTAAGTGAGGCATATTCTTTCCAGATTTGCAAAAACTTACCTGTGTAAGTGTAGTAGTAACTCCAAGGTAAAAAAAAAAGTTTAAAAAGAAACTGAGCAGATGGCAAACGAATATATTTTCATAAATAATTATTTATTATTTTAAAATAACTAATTAAACAAATGTTAAGTTTTAACATCATTGAATCATTGCTTTGATAATTTGAGCCAATCTTGACAGGCTTGTCCTATGGCTTTGTCAGTTATTTCCCTGGACTTGATCTTTTCCTTGAAAGGACAGTTTTACTGCCTCTGTAAAACAGTAAAAAACAATGTTACTAAAAAGTACGACTGTTTACATATATTTTAAATAACTTTTAACTTTTTATTCTGTGGTAAAATAAAAATATAATAAATAAGTGGTTATAATGTACGTTTATAAATAGTATACCATAAACCAATAATAGATCTTTAAAAAAATAAAAAATATTGATTATTTTAAAAATTCTAAAGTGATGTTAACCTAATCCAAAAATAAACCATCTAATTTAATGCAAAACGAATATGTCGCATGGTTAAAACTTCTGCAAAGGTTACGGATTTTTGCCGGCTTCGTCAAATAAAAACACCAATTACCTATTAGTTATTTGGTGCAAATTAAGTAATCTGAAATTTCAATTAAAGTAGGTATATACTTACTTTATTAGCTGTATTCCCACCAAACAATACAATAAATTAATCGCTATCCACTCACAGTAAACAGTAAACATAACTTATACGGCAGCCATTATCAACACAGGACACATGTGACCGGTAACGGCAAAACGAAGCGTCTAGAAGGAATGATCACGTGACACGCGCCTATTGGTTTAAACAATCGTCTTAGTTACGAGTAATACCGAAACAGTGCGAACCATGAACATAATATGTATACAAGTATTATGAAAACTGAAGTTCAGTTACTGAACCACGTAGAAAATTATTGGTACCTATAAGTAACGTTTATTTTTAGGAAAACGATAGACAACTTTATTTTTATTTAGGTACAAAATCAAATATCCAGCTAATATATGACATAAACATTGTTTCTATCGCTAACAAATTTGTTAGCGGTGATAAATACATTTAAATATTACTTGGCTTACAACAACAAAATTTATAGACGTAGATTTCTCGTATTTTTAGACGTTGAGCTTACATAAAAATATATATATAAAAAAAAACGTTTACAAAACACTTGAATGTAAACAAATTTGATAAGGGTAAATAATTCCAATTTCATAAACATGCTTTATAGTTGTTTTTATAATATATATATAGATTGGGTGATTAATATAAATTTATATATTAAATTGATAATTTTATGATTTTAAAATAGTATATCAAGTACGTAGAATATACGACTAAAATATGTACGTTTATAAAAAACGCTTAATATATGTTAAATAATTATACCAAAACCAAAAATATACGATTAAATGGTTTATTATACGTTTATTAAACGATTATGCAAATGAGTGTGTTGCTTGGGCAGGGTCGATAATTTTTGAAACCATAAAAAATAACAGTAGGATGAAACCCATTGGAAAAGGAGGGGAATATAATAAAAATTAAAGGAAAAATAAATTACGGGCGATCTGAGTTCGGGAAGTGGGAGGGGGGGGGGTTTAAGGGTAAAAAATGGTTTATCTCGATTTCCGGCAAAACCACAAGTCTTATGGAAAAAAGTTAAATGGCAAAGTTGTAGGTAATTAAAGGATCTACAACTTTTGTAATTACAATTTTTTTACATAACCTTAAAATTTATGTGAAAAATTCAAAAAACCAAGTTTTTAGTTAAAAAGTTTATTTATTAAATTCTAATAACATTTATGTCAGAAAATCTCATAAAATATAAAAATACATGTAAATTGAATTTAGATACTTCATTCTGATTACGTTATTCATTATAATATTTTTTGTATTTTCTGAGAACATTTACCATAGTAATATATATATTTTTAACACCATCAGAAAGTAGAGAGTTCATCGAAAAAAGCTGATATTTTGACGCGAGAATTTTCGATTGAAAATTAGGGTGCTTTTTTGATATTAAGTCAAAATAAGGCGAAATAATAAATATTTCAAATCAAATAAATTACAGTGTATTTGGGACATAAAAAGGTAAGTTTTCACCAAATTTCGTGGAAAAAAATTTATTTTTGAAAAAGATAAAAATAAAAAACCAAAAACTTGGTTTTTTGAATTTTTCACATAAATTTTGAGGTTATGTGAAAAAAATGTAAATACAAAAGTTGTAGATCTTTTTATTACCTACAACTTTGACATTTAACTTTTTTCCATAGGACTTGTAGTTTTGCCGGAAATCGAGATAAACCATTTTTTACCCTTAAACCCCCCCTCCCACTTCCCGAACTCAGATCGCCCGTAATTTATTTTTCCTTTAATTTTTATTATATTCCCCTCCTTTACCAATGGGTTTCATCCTACTGTAATTTTTTTTCTCTTTTTACCATTTTTAAAGGCTTCTGCACTGGTCTATTTAAGGTAACAAATACTATTAGGCATAGAACTACAACATAAAGTTTTACGAGATTCCCAAAGAATCTTTAAATAGTCTTTATTTGTATTTAAATAATAAAGAAGTGAAGGTAACATAAAAAATACAAATTTATTTTTAAATCAACACCACTCAATACGGAAGGTCATTTTAAGCATAAAATAATATATTGTAGACTTAAGTTTAAGTGACGACAGGCTGAAAGAAGAAATGTACAGGCGAGTTTTAACGGCCTACGCCGTAAAAATTCAGTATTTACTAGAAATGAAATAGTTGTTGGAACGGATACCCGATATCCGGCAAGATTCAAATCTGGATAGCCGGATATCCGGCTGTTGTAAATATTACAAGTTTAATTATTTCAAAATTATAGGGTATACCCTTAGACTATACAGGGATGGTAATGTGCTCTTAGGCCGTTTAATAAATAAAGACAAAAGCATTATGAGAAGTGGGAGTGGTGGAGTGACGTAAGAGTAGTGGGGCAGGCCAGACCGCGCCGCGCCAGGGCTGGAAGCTCCCGTGTACGAGTTTTGGTTCATGCCGCGCATGACGCCACTTGATGAGTAGTTGCCGTGCGAATACACGAATAATAGTAATATTATCAAAGAACATAGAGAAATATCTGGACATAGTGCGTTTTTATTAAACTTTATATTGAAGAAAGTGTTATAATATGGATAATAGATGCTTTTAGTCCTTGATAACATTTAGGGCTGTAGTTTAAGCGTTGGTGTTTTAAATTAAACTTATAGCCACTGTCCAGAAAATGTTTATAGGAAACAGAAGCGGTCTTAACGTTAATATTGTCTATTCTTTTTGTGGCATTTAACCACTGTTTCCACAAATCAAAGTTTTTCGGGAATCGATTAAATTTAATGTTTTTATTTACTTAAAGGGTTTTTCTTGGACTGGTTGTCTGAATTGCATCCAAATATGCCACACCTTATTTTTATAAATGCAAATGGTACGACACAAACTAAAACACAAACAAAACAAGTTAACGCAACACAAAAACAATAATAAACAAACAAAACAGGTTAACACAACGCAATAACAATAATTTAAACACTGAAAAGTAATTCGAACCTTACCGAAAGCAAAAACAACAAACAATAGAGCAAGTTAACATCTAACAGCATCGCAAAAACAAGAATTTTAGCAGCAGATAATTAAAAAGCACGTTAAAGATTTAAAAACACTCATCAAGTGACGTGTTTAAGCCCCGCCCAACATGCGCACCATCCTATCTTAAGGTGTATGCAGGGTTGCCAACCGTACTAGAATTATAGTATTTCTACTATAATTTTATGTCGGTGTACTATGTACTATAGCAAAGTATTATAGTACGTTAAAATACTATAATTTTGAATAATAGTATTATTATTATAATACCCACTTCTTAAAAAAATCTATAATTTTTAAAAAAGAAAACTGTAGAATTTATGAAAAAGAAAACTGCAAAATTTGTATTTTCGCGCCCTCTTTTATGCAAAAGCAAAACTAGCCACATGAAATACCGTGGTGCGCATTAGTGCGGCGCGTGCATTTATTCTCTTATTTAACTGTTATACAGTGTTGCCAATGTACGTGGAAATCCACGCATTGTGTGGAATTTATTTTGTTGTGTGTAATTTGTGTGTAATACATAAATGTGTGGAATTTGCGTGTAAACTTTATCTTTAAATTTCTGTGCAGATTTCTATACAGCAAATTAAAAAAATCTGGTGTTTTTGGA